AACCACATTAAAAAAATAAGGCTAATTATCAAAAACTGGAGAATAACCAATAGCTCAGTAGCTATGGGAGGGAATCCTTCCATACTTCCCATACTGTGCCCAGCACTCAGTATCCTTCATCTTGACCTGAAAGCATTGAGCATGGCCACATAAAGGTGAACCAGCTGAACCACTTAGCCCCAGCTAGCTAAGAGAGAAGACTGAGATCCACCAAATCACTGTGAAAGAAGAAATGGCTTCTCTTCCTATTTAAAGGTGAGTATTCTGATGCAAATAGCCCTGCACTCCAATCCCAGAACCACCTTGCTAGCTGAGTGTCTTTGCCAGAGTTAGGAGATTAATCTCAGATTCACCATCGTAAAAGTGGTTATAATAACATTTACTTGTTAAATATGAGGATTAAATGCTGTAATGCTTTACCACCCAAAACGTGGTGCACAGAATGATAACATCAGCCTCCCCTGGCAGCACATTAGAAATGTGGAGTTTCACATCTCACCCTAGCCATTCTAAGATGTTAGAATCTGCATCTTAACTATATCTCAAAGGCATGGATAGATGCATGTCAAGTGCACAAAGTGAGGTGAGCACAGGGCAATGCTGCTTTTACTTGTTGGCACCCTGTTGGAACTCATCTCTTTCCCTGTCTTTAATGTGCTGTGTTCCACAGAGAGCTGATGGGACACATGAACAAAACTGTTTAGAGTTGGAGATCAATTGCTTTTTCAAATACCCATGGTGCTTTGCCTGGAGCACAACTTACAATAAATGATGATGTGTAGAGGGGTCCACATCACTGATTATGGCAGGTAGAAGATAATTTCAAAAGGATAGAAACCAACCTGTCACTCCTGAATTTTCTCTCCCTCCCTCTGCATCCAATCCATCATGCAACAGAGATGATCTCACCTTCAGTCAGTCTCCTGATGCCGATCCCTTACCTCCATCTCCCCATCACATTCCTAGGCCGATCCCCCATGACTTCTTGCTTGCTAAACTGTAATCCTGACTAGTCTCCCCAGATCTACTCTCTATCTTGCAAGCAAAGTCATTTTTCTAAAACAAAAATTGGGTCAAAAGTCCTTCTGAGCTTCCCAGTACCTTGGGGGAGAAAGATTTTCACAGCCTGAAAATCTCGGCACAATCTGAGGAGGACCTGCCCACGTTCCTTCACCCAACCTTGGAAGGCACCCACACAAGCTCCCTGTGCACCAGCGAGTCTTCACTCAGTCCTAAGACCTGGGCAAGTTTCCTCTCTGCCTAGAACTCTCTTTCCTCCTCCAATTTATTCTCAGACCTCAGCTCAGTTTCCTTCCTTAGACACCTTCTCTGGTCTCCCAAAGGTACAAGGCCCTAGTTATAAGGTCACTTAGCACTCTGTTCTTTTTATCAACCTACAAAGCAATAACATGAACAATAATAATCATAGGTTGTAATGAAATATCTGTTTATATGATCATTTGATTAATGTAAAGCTGTCTGCAAACCCCCAAAAGGCAGAGATCACATGAGTTTTGCTCAGACCATAGCTGCTGAATTGCCAATGCCTAGAGCAGTGTTCAATCTTTTATGAGGCTCTCAGTAACTATTTGTTTAATAAATGAGTTAGCATAATGTTTCTGGGAAAGGAAAAAGCAAAGGAGATCTTGAGGATATCTTTTTTAAGAAACAAGGAGGGGATGCGATGATAGAAGATCAGTGCCCTCCTAGGAGGAGCAAACAGTGTGCCCGGAATCAACATGAGCGAAGAATGGAGCTTAGGACAGGGCAGTGAGGCTGAGCAGATCTCAGAGGTGGAGGCCAGTTGTTCTCAATCCTGGCTGAACATTAGAAAGAGTTTATTGAAAATATCAAGTGGCTTAGGACCTCAACCTCAAACATCTGATCTATTAGGTCTGGGGTATAACTAGGTTTATAATGTGCAAGCTTGGTTAAAATTCACAGATCTAGCAGGAGGAAGGGTTTGCCCGCAGTCAAACAACTGTTTAATTTCAGTGTTAGGACTAAACCCCAGGCTGCTTAACTTCTGGACTTTCAACTTTTCCTTACCTGGAAACCTGAAAAAACTAGTACTATAGTACACACTGCTCTGCCTAAACCAAGCAGAATGAATAGAGTTAGGAAATTAACCCTGATTAATACAGTTCTTAGGAAACCCTAGGAAAGCAGAGATTTTTAGGACAGCTAAAAAATGAGGAACCTTAGTACCTAAGATATCCCCCAAACTGGATAAAGATAAACTAACTTCATTTTTACATATAGCAACTTTTGCATAGTTTCTGCTACCTCATAGAAATAGGGAAACTTGTTTTATTTCATTTCAACTGTCTTCAGACAGTGTTGCTCTCATACAATGCCAGATGTTAAACTATAAGGCATTTCAGAGGTTGTGGAGCCCAGCAATTTCCACAGACTCTGAAACATACCCCAAAGAAATCCTGCAATGACCAAGAGCCCTATGCTTTCAGACTTAATATAATTGAATACTGAAGTATTCATTCATGCAAGAAAAAGTTTCACTAGTTAACTAATATGCCAACAATTGAATTCCTCAAGTCAAGACACTGCATTTGTGCATTTTCATTTTTTCTAAAACTTTCAAGTAATTAAAAATATATAGGAAAGAAAGAAAATTTACTATTTTAAAAATTGTGGTATTGGCCCGGTGTGGTGGTCCACACCTGTAAACCTAGCACTCTGGGAGGCCGAGGCAGGTGGATTGCCTGAGTTCACGGGTTCAAAACCAGCCTGAACACGAGTGAGACCCCATCTCTAAAAAATAGCCAGGTGTTGTGGCTGGCACCTACAGTCCCAGCTACTTGGGAGACTGAGGCAAGAGAATCACTGGAGCCCAGGAGTTTGAGGTTGCTATGAACTAAGATGCCACACCACTCTACCAAGGGTGACTCTGTCTTAAATAAATAAATAAACAAACAAACATTGTGGCACATTATGAGAACAGAATCATTCAAATCATGGTGATAAGTTTGGGAGCCACCGATCTAATCCAAACTGACTTACTACTGAATGAGAGGAACACAGACATTCCATAAACTCCAGATGGAGGCGTAAGGGTTAACTCCAAAGAATAAGGACATTTCCTTTTTGTTCTGTGCTGTCTAAACCCATACAGCAACAGTCTTAACCTACTTTCTTCCCCCTCTCCCCACCAGGAAAAGAATATTTGAAAGAAGGGTAAAAACACTAACAAGAAGGAAGGAATGAAGAAGACAGGAGGCAAGAAGGCTAGCTAGGGGCCATAGCTCTGATCATGACTCCTGAAGCAAAGGGAGTAATGTATTAAATGTAATTTAATAATCTGGGTCAAGAAAACTATTTGTATCTAAGTAGTTCTATCTCAAAGAGAAAGAGACATAGAAGGAGACTTCAAGGTAATCAATCACTCAGCGCTGTTCTAGTGTAGGTTAGAACACTATCTGCATTTTAAATACAGAAAATTTCCAAGTTTGAGACAAAGGAAGTTTGGCAAAAACACATTGACAAAACAGGACCAGCAGCATTGGAAAAGTTCAACCCCCTCTCCCCCATCTTGTTTATGTTCACCCACAGTCTCCATAATTAGTCTCTCTCACATCCCTCTTGGCCATCTCCTGAATGTCCTTACTCCTCTTATGTGGTCTCCAAACCAGGGACAAACTTCATGCAGACTGAGATGCATGGAACACAACCTCCCCCAAACACCCCATGAGACTCTTTGGGCTTGTCTTCCCAAATCCTACCTCATGAGAGACAACAGCTATGGATACATGAGTACAAGATGGATGGATGGACAGATAGAAAGACAGATAAATAGATAGATGATAGAAGATAGATAGTAGATAATAGATGGTAGATGAGAGATGATTAGATAGATAGACAGATAGATAGATGGATGGATAGATAGATAATTATAGAAACAAGAAAGATGGATGGCATTTCTACCTTGTGTTCATTGAGGCTCTTTCTCCTGTTCTTTCTCTGCACATGCCGCTGTCTTGGGTCTCTGTGTATGCCTCTGTCTCAGGGTCTGTGTTTCTTGACTATAGGAAGTTTATGTTCCCTTTCTGATCCAAACTAACCCCCTTTCCTAGCTTAGACTAAGCCATACTTATTTTCCACAATCCTTTCTCCACATAGATAGAATTCTCCAGTCACTCAGCTTTCACTTGCTTCACAAAATTCTTTTGCCCCTATCCTTTGCTCCCTGCCCACATGCCTGCATTGCCTTTTGGCTAGTTTTAGCTGACCAGGACAAAATGTTAGTAATCCATGAAAGAGGCAACCTCCCAAATGTAGGTACATTTGTCGAATATGTATGTTCAGAAGTGCTCATCAGTCTACTAATTTTCTTGCACACACAGAAGGTTGTGCTCCCTTCAGTAACCGATTTTCACATTTACTCCATATCTCTAATTAGTTGCCCTCACTTCCCCAGGTCAGCCTTAGCCACCACAACACAAAATGGCAGCCCACAACAGTAAAGGCCACCTCAGAGAATATTGACTTTAACCTCTACCCAATCCAGGTGTCCTTCTGCAGAGGATCTGACAGGTGGTCAGACAACTGGTACATCATTTCCTGGAACTCATATTGACAGTACTCAGGAGAAGACACCTACAGGGATGTGTCCTGCCCTAACATACTAGAAATGGACACAGAAATGGACTGGGAGCACTATTTTCCTCCCTTAGAAGAATAGAATTTCCCTTGAACATACCACTTTATAAATTACAAAAAAATTCAGACAGGGCCTGTGTATACCAAGAACTCTTTCAAAGTTTGTGTGAGGAAATCCACAGCTCCCTGGACAAATGCTCTTTTACTCTCTAAACCATGTCTCCCGCCCCCTGATCTCATGTTTAATTTCTACCCAGCAATTTAGGAGCCTGTGACTGCTGGTGCCTACTGGGTGACATCTTTCCTGGATAGCATTCACTCTGGTCTCCCGAGCCATCACCCAATGCCATCACTCCTTTTCATCCTCTGCAGAGCAAAATCACCTGTAGTAACTTCTGCTGGAGGATGGTGTTATCTCGAGAATTAGTGCGGTTGCTGCCACGGAACTTGAGAGGCCGGTAGATGCAGCACGTGGTGAAACACACCATGTAGAGTAAGTACAAGGCCCCCAGCATGCAGAAGTATGGCCGCCCGTATTTGTTCCACTTGAGGCTCACCAGCTCCTTCACGGGGGTCTGTTCCAGGATCTGGCGAGCCTGCCACGGAAGAAGAGTGAAGCTTGAGGTGACCAACATAGTCAGGAGGGTTGGGTTTTCCACAGGGCCTCAGAGGGGCAGGGAGGTAACTATCACTACCTACATTCATGCTGCTAATGAGTTATTTCTTTGACAGACAACTAGTAAATTTCTATTAAATGCTGAGCCTTGAGCTAGTGCTAAAGATAAACGATTTCAGAAGTCAGTACAAGGCACCATGAGCACCATGAGGATTTAAAGGATGAGTAGTCATTAGCTGACTGAAGGAAGAGGTAGGAAAGATCACATCATAAAATAGCAGCAGTTGCCTGGGCAGGAAGGTATATGCAACCACTATCCATTGCAGTTGAGGTGTGGTTGAAGACATGGGAGAATCTTCTAGAAGTGATGGGCAGAAGCTATGAGTTGTGAATTAGATAAGGTCTAAATCTTTATGCATTATGAACACCAAAGTAGAAAGTTTGCATATTTTTTCTAAGTGTATAGGAAGCAGTTGTGGACTTCAAGCAGAGAAGTAGTCAGATTTGCTCTAGAAGTATTTGGGCCAGAGAAAAGCAATAGAAGTTACAGGTGGTAGGATGTAATCTAAGCGAGGTGGGATGGGGCTCTGATATAAGCAGAGGATGAGAGAGAGGCTTAAGGCACAAATGAGGGGGGAGAATGGAGAGGAGGAGGCATCCGAGAAATTAGGAAAAGGCAGATTCAAAGCCTTCAAAGTAAGTGAATTAACCATTAACAGAAAGAACATCTTTTCCTTCGAAGCTGGAGGGAAGAAAAGAGATAGCAGCCAGTTCCCAGACATGGGTGGCAGTTCCAGGGAGGAAGTGGAAGAAGCCCCAGCTAGAAAGCCTATATTTTTGTCACACAGTAGAAGTCTGGGTCTTCCAATGGAATGGAAGGGGAAGGTGGTAGGGGATATGAAAGGAGGCTATAATAAAAAAGTTTTAAGGAAGAGAAAAGCAGGTGACCCAAGACACATATAAAACCAACAGAAACCTTCCGCGGAATATTCAGAGCTAGCTGAAATCAAAAACCAATGATCCATGGTGGCAAAATCCACACAGACGGATTCAAGTTTTAATTCCTAAGCAATCCTTCCCCAGGCGTATCTGTTTCCAAGAAGCAGATCTACTTTGAGAAGATTATACAAACCGGCCACTCGACTTTTCTTCTATTCCTTAGTATTAATAATCATTCATGTTTCATCATTGTATAAGGAATTTCCCAGGAAATTATCAAGTGGTAGATAAACAATAGAAACTATATCTTGCCACTCTCACGGAGGTCCTTAAAATCCAGCATTTTCTCCTCTTTACCAGATTTTAACGAATTTTCCTTTCCTTCCTCTCACTGAATCCAGCACTGTGGAATGGTCTCTGTGCTCCTCCCTCTCTAAAAAGTTCTCAATATTCTCATCCTCTCGGTGTCTCTCAACTCTTCCTTAAAGAGATAGATGTTCAAGCTTTTCCTCTAATACCTTCTCTGGCCCACCCAGGCCAAGTCCACCCTACCTGAATTTTGCTACCCCTGTACATAGCACACACTCCTGCTACAGCATATGTTGTTCTGTATTGGGTTTATGGAGGACAGAAACCAAGAACTGAGGAAGCTGACTGACAGTAACTGTGTTGTATTTATTACTCTATTCTCAGTTCCTTGTACAGCACATAAGATACAGAAAGTATTCAATATGCTCAATGAATGAATGAATGAGTGAAAACAACTCTCATTTGTGGAGTTCCTCATCTGAAATGTCAGAATGAGAAAGGTAGGTGGAAGGACACGACTAGAGAGCAATGACTCAAGCAGGTCCCAGGACACTACGCCCACCTCTGCACAGACACTGAGTTCCCTCCCATGACAGTGCTCGATCTTCCTTGGCATCCTTACCTCCCGTTTATTGGAGGAGACCACAAGCTCTAGAAATGACAGCTCCTCTCCCCAGGAGTCAATCTCCGTGAGGTCGTAGAGGGTGGAGGTCAGTGGGCCCCACGTCCACTGGATGTGCTTCCGCTTCTGTATCAGGTGCTGGAACATCTGAGGGCACACTGAGGTGAGTCAGGGGTCAAGGTGTGGGGAGCTCGTCCAGTGGAACAATGGGACTGGATGAGGCCAGTCCTCGGGACTGACAGAAAGTGGAGAATAGGCAAGCCTCTGCTTTGAACCCCACTCTTTTTGTCATCTTTCTTTTCCACAAACCCCATAGAGCTCTGAAAGCAGAAACCAGATGAAGGGAGCAGAGGTTTGGGTTTCCATGGCAGATACTCTGGAGCCAGATTCTCAAATCCTCCAAGTAAGAGACTCTGAGGCTAAAGATTCTAGTGATGGGATAGAAAGTAAGGGGCAACTACTTTGTGGGATTTTGGAGAAAGGGGGGTTTTAGAAAGACCCATCCTTCACATCCATTTCTTCCCAGAGCCAGTAGAGTAAGGTGACAAGGGGCTGCCCTCACCACAGTGTTGCCCTCCACTCCAGCCAGCTTGAAGGGGGTGAGGCCCTGGTGGTTGGGCACGGCTTCCAGGGGCAGCAGGTGGTCTTTAAGGCAATCATAGGATAGCAGAAGATTGTACATCTGACAGGCAAAGGTTTTGTTGGGCTGGAGAACGAGGATGTGCAATACTGTGTTTCCTGGAGGAGGACACGGGCATCATGGGGCCATTGGACCAGAGTCGTCCCTGATGTCCCCATCCCCACCTGGGGTGTGCCTGAGAGCTGTCCCGGCCCTCCCCTCCCCTCCTCCACAGCCTGGCTGCCCTCTCTATCCTAGCTCTTACCCAAGGAGTCCTGGGCCCGGATGTCAGCTCCATGCTCAATGAGAAGCCGCACAATCTCCTCACTGCCCACACAGGCAGCAAAAGACAGAGGGTGCTCCCCTGGGAACACACAGGGCACCATGGCAGGAGAGCACAGGACTGTAAGATGTGAGGTCTGTGTCCCCCAAATGTCTCCCACCCACACACACATCTCAGCTCAGGGTCTGAGGACACTTGTCCAGCGGAACCAGAGGAAGGGCTGTGAGGCAATTGGCCTTGGGCCTAATTAAGCCCCAGATGGCTGTTCTTGGCCACTTCTCTGCCTGCCAGTCCTCCCAGCCTGACCCTGCTCTCACCGAAGTAGATGAGGTTGCGGGGACTGCGGCAAAAGGCGGCGCCCGTAGCTCTGGCAGAGACACTGGCCCCGTGGGTCAGCAGGGCTCGCACCAGGTTCACGTTCTGGTTCACAACAGCAATGTGCAGTGCAGTCTGACCTGGCCCAGAGACAGCCAGCAGTCACGGGACTGTCACAACCCCAATTCTCTCTCCTCTTCTCCCATACAGGAGGTCCCTGACAGGACCTTTCGTGGCCTTCTACCCTGGGCTCGTCAGGAAAGCCTAGAACTGAGGACAGTTCATCCTCAGGCTGCCCTGCTCAGGGCACCTGCCCCTCAGGGGATGCACTGTAAATGCAATCACTCTGGTGTGGCTCTGAGTGAACGAAATATCAACATGTCCTTCAGTGACCATGAGGGGACTGAGAGGAGACACTAAATGGTGAAAGGAAGCCACAGGTGCTAAACGCCAGGGCAAGACCTTCGTATTCCTTCACCTTGAGGAGCTTCACCCACCCTTCCGAGGCCCATCTTAAGAGATGGCAGCACACTCCACACCACGACGTGTCCGCCTGGGATTTCTGAGCACGGTGCTCACCTACAAAAGGCTCACACAATGTGGGCTCCTTGGCCAGCTCTGGGGCAGCCTCCATCAGCACTACAGCAGCCTCCAGGTTGTCATAGAGGGCTGCTACATGCAACGCGGTCTCCCCCAGGCCTCCTGGAGTGGAGCAAGACAGGAATGTCAGACACTCCCTAGCCTCCCTGGACAAAGGTGCACCAGGCTCCAGAGGCACCCTTGAAGGCCCCATTGTGAAAATTCTTCAGTGCTGGGGTAGGGGGTGGGTGAGCAGGTGCTTCTGTCCCCACGTCCCTCCCCTTAAATCCAGATCCCACCTCTTTGCCAAAAGTTGCAGGCTTGATTCAGCAGAAGTTGCTTAAGGACAAATAGGTCATTTTCCTTGGCGGCCTGAAGCAGTGGGGACTCTTGAATTCTGAGGGAAAATGAATACAAGTTCTGTAGAGACAGAGTCAGAATGAAGCCAGGAGCAGACGGGATCAGAGACATTCTCTGTCTAAAATGGACACTGACTCACAGTGCGTAGTAATGGACTGGCACCAGGTGTCTGCTGGACTCACGTGACTGAGGGCAGACTTGAAAAAGGGCCAGTCTCAGGAGCTGCCCCTGGGCTCAGCAGCCTCTCCCTCTGCCTCCCTTGGGGGTAGGCCTTGCAGCTCAGCTGGTTGGGAGGAAGGTTTCTAGAAGGGGCTGGCACCTGAGCAAGGAAGGCCTGGGATCCAGAAGGGGTGGCCCGAGGGTCCCAGAGCAGAGGTCCTAAGCCTGTCCGAATACATCTGAGCTGAACAGATGGAGCAAGTGGAAGAGAGGGCACTGCCATCAGGCCCTGTTCCCAGAAAGGCCAGAGCCTGCTCTCCTTAGCCAAAGGGCAGCATGAGAGACCAGCAGGGCAGAAGGGCTGTTGGATCTTTCCTGATCTGTGGAATTTGTGAGCTGTTAAAGTTCTGACTACTCCTGGGGGCTCTTTAGATACACAACCCTGCTGAGAGTAGAGCTCTAGGGGTAGGGTAGGGGAAGTTGTTTATTTTGTATCATACCCTTAGGTGCAAGGGTCTACATAACCTTGTTTATTTGGGCCCCTCATTGCCAGAAGGTGCTTGAGATAATTACCCAGCAGGACATCTCTTAGTTAATCTTTTGTTTCTCCTGTATCTCTTGAAATGAGCAAGAGATAAAGTAGGAGTCTGTACTGGCAGACGCCTGCCTGTAAGTGTTGACTCCAGAGCAAACATGGGGTCTAGTTGGGGAGACCAGAGGAGACAGGCTGACCAGCTGCTGTGGTGGCCTACCCCACCCCAAATTCTTTTCTTCCAATAGCCCGCCCACAGGAGCCAGAGAGAAATGTTTTACTTAAAAAAGAAGCTTTTTATCTAAAGATAGTTTAGAAAAGTGGAGAATGAGAAGTCAGCCACCTGCCCCACGTCACCCTGGGCCTCAATCTCAGGGAGCCACGTGTCCCTGACCAGTCCAGGGTGGCCATGACTGGGATTCTGAGTTCACCCCTGTCCTCAGGCCACTCCACAAAGCCCCTGCCTGCCTGGTCCCACTGCCTCTCTGCTAGCTCTGTCAGACCACTGAGGTGATACTCCAAAGGGAGTGTGGAGAGGTCAAAGATCCCATCGCAGGTCAGATGGCATAGGAGGTAAGCAGAGAGCCTTGCTGGAGTGAGGGCTCAAGGCACTTGGGCAGGTGCAGTGCAAACTGCACATGCAGGACCCCTTCCCATCGGCCCACCCACCTGTTCAAAATCACCGAGAATTTCAAGATGGAGACATCAGGGGATTGCACCAAGTACAGGGCTCTTCTTTAGCCCAGGGGCAGGGGGTGGGGGGGCTATGTGACTGCCAGTGTCTGCTCACCACATGCTTCAGGCTGCAGGATGGTCCCTGCCACACTACTCTTTTGGGTCCATGAAATGGTCCACCCCTAAATGCACAAGCCTGACCTGACCTGAGAGCTCCCTGGAGCAGACATGGCCTCGCTCCACCTGCCTGTGCTTGGAACACAGCACCCCACTTCACACAGCAGACTCCATAGAAAGTAGATGAAGGGAACTCAGAACCGCCCAGCGTTACCTGATCTGCCCCTCTCCACTGGTCAGGGTGTCACAACCTCTCCCCCTTTCCCACTAGTGAGCTTTCATTCAAACTTAGGTCAAGGTCTCCCTTTCTTCCCCCACCCATAGGATGGAATCACAGCCCTTCCACAGCAGCCAGCCTTGCCTGCCACCTCACCCCACACACCTGACCTTTTCTTTTGATTGTTTGGTCCCCTTATTCCTCCTTCTATAAGGCAGGCAGATTAGAGCCCTGGCTGTCATGCTGTCCCTGTCATATGGCATGTGGTTGTGAAGTATGTCTACAGGCAAGGTCTCCCATGTGGCCCCAAATCACACCCCTCCACCACCAACCAGTCAGAGGGGCCAGCTGGGGTTTGCAGTGGGTGGGGTGGAAGGGAAAGGTTTTCTAAGACTGCTCTATCAGGGTCAGAGGGTTTGAGGACCAGGGTGGTGGGGACCCAGGTGTCCAAGGGCAGCTCACCTCTTTTGTTGCAGCATATAAGCCTGGTCCATGCGCTTGTCCCAGTCTTCCTCTCTGACCATCCAGGAGAACAGACATCTCTGGGGCTGCAGCCAGGGCCCTTTGGCCTTGGGTGGGCAAGCCTCCATGTCCTTTCCTTGCAAGTGCTGGCAGGTTGTAGGAATGTGATGAAGGGAATAGGTCTCTGATGGCAGCAGCTGAGGAGGTGGAGTCTGTTTGGGGCTGGGAATTTAAATGAGTGTATCTCCCTTGCGACTTGTGTGCACAGTGTGCAGTGTGTGGTTGTGAAGTGTGTGCACGTGTGTATGTGAGGGTGAGCACACAGTGAGGGGCTGGCTGCCCTGCCTGGGGAGAGGTGCTCTTCTGGAGGGAAGGGAGCTTTTTATGAGCTGGAGCCCAGGGGGCAAGGAGCTGGGAGGGAAGGGAGGGAGAGGTGGGTTCCTTGCCGTGGGCTGGAGCGGCTGAGACTGGGAGAGGCTGAGGGGTGGGGCAGAGGAATTCAGAAAGGGATCAAGAACGGAGCTCAGAGCACAGAGGTTGGGTCCACAAACAAGGTACACAGTTAGCCAGATGCAGGACAGCAGGACTAGGAGGACTCCAGCTCTGGAATCAGGCAGGTTCTGGTTCTTCCCCCTTGCAAACACTTAGGTGAGCTTTCTCAGCTTCAGTCTTCTAACCTGTAAAACTGGGACACCAATCACACTGTCTCACTGGAAGCATCTGAAAAGCATGTGTCACAAGTGGTCGCCCACTGCTGATCCCCCTTCCATAGGTGGGCTCACTAAGCCCAATGGGCTGCTCCTCAGCCCTTCCTGAGTACCTTGATCTCCTGGTCAGAGGAGGTCCCAGGGGCCCCATGTTTCTGGGGAGGGTGAATACCAGGACCAGTGCAAAGGCACACAACAAACAAATCTTGATTTCATATTTGGGACTCTTTCAGGAATTAGACAGGAGGAGGAATGTGTAAAGACAAGACAGTTTTCCATTATTTCATTAAGGACCCCCCCTTGTCCACAGAATCATTCTCTCTGAGAGTTCCACTAGCTGAGGTCAGCCGCAGTTTGCAAGTAGGTGAAAATGGGTACAATAAGACATTTTGAGAGGGGGAGAGAAGAGACCATATTTGCTTAATTTGTTACAATATATTATAATTTTCTGTTTTGTTATTGTTGTTAATCTCTGTGCTAATTTACAAATTAAAGTTTACGTAGGTTTATTCCTATAGGAAAAATCACAGTATATGTCGGCTTGGGTACTATCATGGCATCTGGCATCTGCTGTGTGTCTTCGAATGTGTCCCGAAGGATAAGAGGGAGCCTGCTGTACATGACAGCTTGCACTCATCTGCCTAGTTGCTTTCAAGAAGGTATCAAGGTCACTGAATTGTAGTCACTCAGTGGATCTGCTGAGCAGGGTAAATGGGGACAGGGAAGCGTTTTCTACTTTCTGAATGAGAAGACAGAGCACAGAGAGGGAGTGTGATGGCCCCCAAACCCCACAGCTAGTAGTGAGGCCAGAACTGGCTTTGAAGGTGGAATCTCAGCTCCAAGTCACTCTGCAGACCTGTTGCTTCTAGGGAAACTTTTGGCTATTAAGTAGGAGATTAGGGTGAGGTACACAGGGACCCTGCCCTTGCAGGTCTTTAGGGACAGGGGACTGTCCCATTTTCTTTTGTACTAAGAAAGAGAGCTCTGCCCCGGAGACTGAGGAATAGACTGAATAACCTTTAGAGAAGGACACAAATTGAAAGGAAAATAAGGAAAGGAAGAGAAGGTGCCCAAGGGAGAATCACGTTCTCACCCAGGAGAGGGAGGGCTTGACTTGTGGGGCATTTTTCTGCCTCACTGGGGGTCAGTCAGTGCAGAAGGACCTCCAGTCTAAGGAGATGGAGGGAGTGATAAGGCTGAGGTGGGGGTTGTAGATATTCTGATAAGCAGGCAGGCCAGGGAAGGGAGCACCTGCCAAGGGACTGGCAACCCATAAAGCTGACCCTGGAGGGGTGGGGTGGGGAGGGGCTGGCACGGGGCGGGGGGAGGCTGGCCCGGTCAAAGCCGCACAGAGCAGGTGTGGGGGGAATTTCCACCAAGGGCATTGTCTACTGGTCCAAGGAGGGGGGGTGCCGAGATCGCAAGGCCTCCATCCCTGGGCGTTTACCCTCTTGCCTGCCCTTCTCGCCTCACTGCTCTCTCCAGCGGGAGGGGCACAAACCAAGCTGTCCCCCCATCTTAGCCAGTAGCCTAGAGATTGGAGTCTCTCCTGGCCTCTCTGCCCTTTCTCACCCACTCCTGTCTCTTTGTGACACTAGACTTCAACCACCCTTCTATTCTCTCCTCTCTTTCCTCTCAGGCCACTCTCAGCTTTCTGCAGGCAAGGACTTGTGTAGAAATCTCTCTGCCCCCTCTAAGACAAGTCTGTAACGCCTTCTGGGTGCCCAGAAGGAGACCTGGGTTGGTGGCACCTTACCGGGCTATCAGGTCCCAGAGTGCCTTTGTGCCAAAGCAGCCTGACCTCTTATTCAGATGTGATAAGGAAGAGGAGAAAAAAATAATACCAGGATTACAATTTACAAGAAATACAGCTCTCTTTTGCGTCCTTACTTCAAAGATGACAAAGAAAAGAAGGAACGACAGTCGTGCCAAAAAGGGTCATGGCCACGTGCAACCTACTGACTGCACAAACTGCACTCGATGCATGCCAAAGACAAGAAGCTATAAAGAGTTCATCATTCGGAACATAGTAGAGGCCGCAGCTGTGAGGGATATTTCTGAAGTGAACGTCTTCAACGCCTATGTACTTCCCAAGCTCTGTGTGAAGCTACGTTACTATGTGAGCCCTGCTATTCACAGCAAGGTAGTCAGGAACCATTCTCGGGAAGCCCGCAGGCCCAAACATCTCCACCCCGATTTAGACCTGTGGGTGCTGCCCCACAACCTCTACCAAAGCCCATGTAAGGAATTGAGTCCTTGAGGACTGAAGGGAAACTATCCTTTGGGAAAAAATAAAATGGAAATTATACTTAAACAAATAAAAAAGAAAGACACTCCAACCCCACATGGCCACAGCCATCTATGAAAAGGAGTCAGATCCTACATCTTAAAAGTTGGATAGTGATTATTATTGGATGTTAGAACGATTAGCTTTGGGGGAGGTGTACGTTTCTATGTCGTATACATGGTAATTAGAACAAAAAATGTGTAAGAGATTCATGGTTTCCTGCAAGCATGTTTCTCTGTGGACACCAGGATTCATGTGGATGGGGGTGAGGATAGGGAAGGTGTGGTCGTCAGTGCCACCTAGTTCTTTCCACCCTGTCCTGCCCTGCCCTGGGAGACACACACCCAGCCAACCTCCCCACCCATACCCACAGAGCTGGAGATGGCTTCTTTTGCCAGAGAACCAAGAGGTTTTTACCCCAGAGCAGTCAGGAGAAGGTTAGTGAGTTTTTTTTCCCACACGAGCATTGTTCTCTTTTTGGCTATTGCCCCCCTTGCAAACACTTAGGTGAGCTTTCTCACCTTCAGTCTTCTAACCTGTAAAACTGGGACACCAATCACACTGTCTCACTGGAAGCATCTGAAAAGCACGTGTCACAAGTGGTCGCCCACTGCTGATCCCCCTTCCATAGGTGGGCTCACTAAGATCTAGGATGGATCTAGGGTCAATGAGTGCAAGGTGGGGGTGATCAGGCTCACCTGCCTACTTGAATTTCTCTTCCCTCACCTTCAAGCAACCTTCTGTACCACTCCCCAGCCCCGCCCTAGCCCCTGGCTTGGATCCCAGGGAACTGTCTAAGAGGTGACATCTGCTATAGATGAGAGCATCCTTGGGGGCACGTCTGCTAGCATGGCTAACCTCCGCAGGAAGGGATCTTGTCACTCACTTCTGTACTTCCCATCCCTTCCTACAGAAAGGATGCCTGTCTCCACACATGTCCTCACCCACACGGGCACGTTTCCCTCGGGGCTGGTATGCATGGACGGGCAGGAGTGCTGCGAGGTGGTTATGGCAGTTCAGATGTGCCTGTACGCTTCCTCTCACCCATCTAGCATCCGCTCTGTATCTTAGGGCCTATGTGTCTGGTTTCTAGTTTTCAAAAAAAGGTCTTCATTCTGCCTCCCCTGACCCATAGCCTCTAACCATCTCTGCTCCAAGAAGCAGATGGTGGTAATTAGTCACAGCTGGTTACTGCCAACAGGTCTGCTGTTGCCAGGTTCATGGGCAGAAGGGACATTGTGGAGCTGAGGCAGGATTTTTCCAGACCCATTATTTGGGTCCTTGATGCCCTGCCATGCTATGTCCCTTCTGCAGACTCTAACTCCGCCCACCAAACAAAGAGTTTAGAGACGATCTGCTAACAACTTTTTGGTCTGTTTTTAAGAGGACAGGAAGCTGCAAAATGAGAGAAGAGGGTGTTTCAGTCTGGTAGGACAGAGGACAGAGGCCAGGAAAGGGGGAAGCGGAGGAGAGGACAGGGAGAGGAGGAGAGAATAGTTTCTGCTTTGCTGCCTCTTTCTGTCTCCATCTCTGTCACTATCTCTGTCTCTCTCTGTCTCTGTCCCTCATATGTACACACACAGGTGCGCACACATAGGGTATGTGTCCTCTGTGCTCCTTCCTGTCCTCACTTCTTGGCAGACCCACATTTCTTGTGAGCAGCAGGCCCACGCCCAGGACTTGAAGATCCTGACTTCTCCATCTGGTCTGCACCTAACCCTACACAAATCAGTCTTCTTAGAGAAAGGCAGCATGGACTGGCAGGAAGACATGGTTTAGAATTAAAAGAGTTAATCAAGAGTCCTTCTTGCAAAATAGTACAATCTCTATGGAAAGTAATATGGAGATACATCGAAGAACTAAAAGTAGACGTACCATTTGATCCAGCAATGCTGATTATTATTTACCCAAAGGGGGGAAAAAGTCATTGTAGCAAAAACAAACAAACAAACAAAAAAACCCGCGTGCCCTCCGATGTTTATTGCAGCACAATTCACAATTGCAAAGATGTGGAACCAACTCAAGTGCCCATCAATACATGAGTGGATTAATGAATGAGGTCTGTGCATCCCACGGAGTACTACGACCATAAAAACAAGTGATGAATGAGTTAGTTCCTTTGGTGACAACCTGGATGGAACTGGAAATCATTCTTCTAAGTGAAGTTTCACAAGAATGGAAAAACAAACATCACAGGTACTACTCACTCTGAAATTGGAACTAATGGATCAATGCCCACAGGCACATTTTGTAGTAAGACTCACTGGAAACCAAACAGGTGGTTGGGGGAAGGAGAGGAGAAACAAATTCACACCAAACAGGTACGGTCCACATTATCTGGGTAACAGACACACTTACAGCTTCAACTCAAACTGTACAAAAAAAATACATGCAACTAGAATATTTGTTCCCCCATAATATTCTGAAATGTACAAAAAAAAAAAAGAAATATTTTCAAACCACAAAAAGATTTACAAAATCTTGGCAAATAAATAAATACATCATTGTTATGTGAGTCGTTACCAATAGGGCAAACTGGGTGAGGGGTGTACAGGGACTGGGTACTATCTTTGCAACTTTTCTGTAAATCTAAAATTATTTCAATATAAAAATATACTTAAACATTTAAAAAAGAAAAAATAATCCTGATCTGCCTTTTGGTGTTTTGGTGATCTTGAGTGGGGAAGTCCTTTCTTCTATGAACCTTAAATTTCCTCAGCTGTGTGATGCCGTGATTTTCAACGGATGTGTTCTAGCTTCTGGTGTGCTGTGAGAGGATCTTAGGTGTGCCATGAAAATTTTTAAAGATCATTAATTAAATTATTTTTGAAATAACAAAATATAATAATAAAATATCGTCTTTTTTTACTCCTTTGTTTAAACAACATAATTTAATTGTGCCCCAGAAGTTTACCTATGAAGAGTGCAGTGAGATAAAAAAGATTGAAAAACACTGAATTGTAATGGGTATGAGAATACTATTACTTTGGAGTCCTGGTTGTTATGTGGATCTAATGGTGTACATTGCAAATTCTTAAGTCATTTCTGTTGCTATCTACAAGAAGCTCCGTTGTAGTCATTCCAGAAGCCTCTGCCATCCCTACTGGCTCCACTTCAGTTTCTTGCCAGGCAACAGAACACTCTAGTGAACTGGAATGGTCATGTCCAAGGATGTGATGTCACAGTACACATGAGGTCAGAGGTACTATGGAAGAGAACGGAAGAAAACGGTGCTGGGCAGGGGTAAGGCTGGGACGGGGTGGGGTGGGAGGTGGGGGGAGCCTGCTGACCACTGGGGTGCCAGGAGGGTCAAAGGCAGAGAGGGGCAGGCCCATGCCTGCCTTGGGCTCCCAGATCTGCAGGGCAGCATTCCTGGCCACCATCTTGCTGCTGTTGAGAACAAAGGGGATGAAGCTTCAGAAGAGGAGCCCAGGCTCAGAGGAGAGGGAAGAAGAAACGCCCTCTCCAGGTAGGTAGCGAAGAGGGAAAACCTGGAGGCCAAAACTGGGTCTGTTTGAGCTCAGGCCCCAGGGCTGTGGGAGGGAACTCCAGCTCCCTGTTGTGATAACCTTAATTGATAGCCTCAGGGCACATGTGGGTTCCGTGAGTATGTGAGTCTGGACCATTTGCCTGGGAAGAGGGTCTTAGGTTTTCTTCTCACTTTAAGGTGGCACCTCACTCCCTGAATGGCAGATCACCTTGGAGGAGGCAGCTAGCCTTAGGAATGGTTGTGTGTCTTTGAGGTGGAGCTGTCATTGGACACAGACCAGAAAAGACCTCTAGAAGGAGCATTACCTTTCTGATCAAGACCGGGGTTATGGGTCCTTGGACAAAGAGCCCAAGACCCCAACCTTTTTTTCCTATTCTAATTTCTTCTCTTTCCCATCCAGGCCAGGGTCATCAAAACAGGGCCAGGTCAGTGTCAGACCATCATTCCCTTCGCCTCTTCCCTGTTCTAGACCAGAATCAAGAGCAGTTTGAAGAGCACTTTATGATCTCTTCGGTGGGTGAGATGTGGCAGGTGATGGACATGGCCCAGCAAGAGGAAGATAAGACATCTGAGACAGCAGCTCTCCATGACCACCTCTTTTACCTAGCCTTCTGCTTTAACCTGGCCAGTATCATGATTTTTTTATGAGGGACATTGAGGCTGAGGTGGTGGCCTGGTTCCTGGATGAGAACCTGGGGACCTACCTTCGCTTCGTGATCATCTACTGACCCTCCCTCAACGATGGGCTTTGGGTCACCGCCCCCCCCAAAACATGTACACTCCTCCTGCCCGTCATCAGGAGGGCTGCACCCTAGGGAGCAAACCTGCATCCTACTCTCTCCCACACCTCTCCTGGTGTTGTTCAGGTCAGCAGATTAGGGGGAGGAGGCAGAGGCAAAAAGTCAGCAATAAAATCTTGAAAACAATTGGGAGCTGTTTTCTGAGAGTAACCAAAACACTTATGTCTTCCGTTGGGGTATTTAATTGCCGACCTTTGGGCCAGTGGCCAACCTTCAGACCCACTAGGTCACCAGTCATTGGTTCTTCTGTTTTCTTATGTCTATGGGATATTTTTGGCATTTTCTACCTGGGCATATCATTTCCGACTTGGAGGCATAGAACCTAGCAGGAAAGAGGCATTAAGAGACAGGCAGAAGCCAAGTGGAGGTTTTTACTTTTGGAATAGAAGTACAAAGAGATCTTGCCCTGATTCTGTGGATCAGGCAGGGGAGATGCTGGCACATCTGTATCGTAGTCTCTTTGGTAGCCAGGTCACCAGATTTGGCAGCGGCTAGCGGGGTTCAGGAGGGCACCACGGGGACAACTGAAGTGTTGCGCAAACATTGAGGTGCTGCTGACTGGCCCGTGGACCCGAAGCGGGGCAGGACTGTGAGTGTGGTTGGAGTCCTGGGAGCTGGGCCTGCTGCACATCACCTGGGCAGGCAGAGGGGTCAAGGAGGGAGAAGGAAGGCCAGTTGTGAGCAGTGTCTGTAGCACAAGGAAGAGCTGGTGACATGAGGTGGCTGAGGAGGGCCAACAGAGGAGGAACAGGGAATAAAGTGCTCCAAGGGCCATCTGAAGGATCTGTAGGTAATAGGTCCTATAATCTGGAGAAAGGAGTGGGGGGAGGGCCTGGCTATGTAATGACAATGTCTGTCAGTGACTGAGTGCCTCTCGGAGGAGGTTTTATGGTGCTGAGGAGCTGGGAACTGGGTCATCTACAGAGCACAGGTGCGTAAGGGGCTTCTGTCAAGTGGGCACCACACTTGGGTATGGGTCTCTGAAGAGGAACTGTATACAGCCAGCCTGGGGCAGGCTCATTTTTAAGGCTTATGTATTTTGGGGAGCGTGAAAGAAGAAAATAGTTGGGCTCATCTCATGGAGAGGCCTGGGAGAAAGGTTTTTCCTGTCTCTTGAGTGGTCAAGGAACATGTAATGTGAAGGACGATTCTGACAAGGAGTGATGAAAGATGACAGTGGGGACATCTGCACCAGAGGCTCAGGGTATTTGTGGGGGTGGGGGGTGGGGAGAAGGGAGGTTCTGTGAGCGCCAGTATTAGGGTGGGTGTCTATTATAAAGTAAGCTCTGGTGGGACGCAGGAGCTGCCTACCTGGGCATAGCTTTGAAAGAAGATCTGCTGGGGGCTGAGCTCCAGGCTGGGCAGGATTGTCTCCCCATAGTGCCTCAACAGACTCTCCCTGTATGCCTGCACAGGGAAAGGGTGGACAGTGGCCACCTAAAAATCCAGTGCCCTTCACACTAGACCCAAACCAGCCCTTGTTCCTTCCTCCTGGGTTGTGCACTGACACAGCCAGAGAAAGAGTGTGAGCCAGCAGGCCTATAGACATGTCCTAGGAATCGGGGGACCTATGAGGCAGGAGGGAAATCCCCTAGTTGACATCCACTCGGAGGGTGGGGAGGGCACAAAGGGCAGAAAGCTATATAACTATGTCTGTATGAGAGATGGGGGGAGGAAAACCTGAGGACAGGGCTTAACTGGCCAGTAAAAATCGATGGCAGCCTGGGAGCTTGAGTCACCTGCAGTGCGATGGTCAGAGCACCCACATCTGCAGCATTCTCCAGAAACCTGCGGGATCCATTGAAGAAGCTTCTGTCTGGTGACTGGAAGGAGGCATAGTGGTGCTCTAGACACAGGAGCTCCCTCTGCAGGGCACGGGGGCTGCAGTCTGGGCAGTCTTCAGGGAGCACTGTTGACAATGGGGCAAGAAGATGCACAGGTGAGGGTGGCGCTTGGGGGGTTCGGACGTCGTGGGTAGTGTAAACTGATCTGGCTGCCGGGAGCAACACAGTTTCCAGGACTGTCTCCCTTGGAGGCCTAGAATTACCCCACACCATACCACTTCTAGAGACCTCCCTTGAGGCTTTTCCTTGGGCTCTCTGTGCCTGACCTCTTGGTGGCCCTGTTACTCACAGAGTTCGTAGAAGACCTGTGACAGCTCACGAGCCATTATACTGCCAACAGCACCAAAATTCACGGCTCTAGGAGAGAAGGGTTTGTGTTGCCCCCAGAAGCCTTCAGCATTTTTGACCTCAGGTTCCATCCATCATCATCTGCAAATTCCTCTTGGGAGACTCCCTGCCCGCATAGAATCATCCATACCTGGGGTAGCCAGGGTGAAAGAACGGGGGCTGCAAGAGTCCAGCTGGGAAGACCACCACATGGTCAGGGACTGAGTAGTAGGCACTGACAGCCCAGGGGGACACCTTCCACCTGGGGGAAGAGCACACACACCAGCACCACCATTTATTGTCCTCCCACCCCCAAACGCACATGTCCTTCCCACCTACTGCCCCTGTTCCTGCCCTGGTTTCTGTCCCTCCTAATAATCAGAGGGTATCTTTAGGATGGATGGTCTGTGTCTCCCCTGCCCTCACCTGTGGTTGGGGAAGGGCTGCAAGAAGCTCTGGACAGTTCTAGCTTGAAGGGCTCGGACACAGCTCAGGAAAGACTGCAGGAAGCTAGGTCCAAGCTGTATCTGGGGAGCAGGCAGGAGGTGGCTTGAGTGCACAGAGACAAAAGCAGACACACCCTGACATGTGCTGATGGGCACATGTGAACCAAAAGAGGTGAGCCCTGCCACAGATTAGCAGAAGCCAGCCCAGAGCCATGACATGTACCAGGGGCAGACTGGCTTTACTAATCTTGGCACACAGCTAGACACACTCAGACAAGTCATGGGATGGACGCTGTAATGTGTGCACACACATTGTGACCGGAAAAGGTGCTATTCTTCTTCCAGCAAGACCAACAGTGTAGACTTTCACCCAGAAAGCCCAGTCGCATCAGGACAAGGAAGTGATTGGTTAGAATCACCCAGGGAAAACCCATTGATTGTCTGGCAAAGATCCAGGTACTTTGGTGAAATGAGGAGAAAAAAGACAAGACCTGAGGAGATGGGAAGGTCAGAGACTCACATCATTGTATTCTTGCCTGGTGGGCTCTGGCTTCAGGGCCCATTCTGGGGCCCCCATCTCTACCTGAAGTTGGGTGACCTGCAGAGAGATACAAAAGGTGGCAGGAAGCCAGCTGTGCTCAGTCTATCAGAGGCAGGCTTTCCTGCTCACCACCCCTGCCCCAGCCTTCCATGCTGTCTCCAGGATGTGTGCAGCACACTGGCCTTTACACTTGACTTGTATTCTTGGGCTCCTGGTGCTCTCCAGTCCCCATCTCTAACCATCCACTGCTCTAACCATCCCGTACCAGTTCCCACATTGCCCCTTATGCTCAGCCTGACCTTGTTCTGGGCCTTCTCCCGGGTCTCCTCATTCATCCAGGGAAGGCTTCTGAGGTGAGTGATGAGGGCATTCTTGATGGCCATGAATAATTTCATAGCCTGTGGAAGTGAGGTTGGGAACAGGGGCATGATCTCAGGGATTCAGCTTGGGCCTGCCCACACACCTGATCCTAGGAGGGGCACACATTCTCTCTCTCCCTCTTCCTGAGTTTCTCAGCTTCCCAGCCCAAGTGTGCAGTCACTGCCTCCCCAGCCACCTTCTGTGAAAACTTTCTTATACACATCACTGAGGACATCAGAGTGAGTGACATCAGGGGCCTAGGCTCTGGCATCAGACAGCCTGAGTTCAAATCCTTACTCTGTTTGGATCTTGTGTAACTTTGGCCAAGTCACTCAACTTTGCTGCGCCTTGGTTCTCTCCTCTATACAATTAGGATGATAATAAGAATTAAATAAAGTCATTCATGCAGAGTGCTCACAAATGCCCCTGGGCATGGGGTAGGCACTCAGAAAGTATTCAGTAGTTACTTATTTACTGTCCTCACGATTATGTCATCCCATTCTCATGTCATTTTTCATGTTGTTAAACAATCTCAGGTAAGCATGAAGGAGCCTGAAAGGTCACAGAGTTCTATTTTCTTATTTCATGGTTGAAGAAGCACAAGACCAGGAAAGTCGGGTGCCTTGTCCAAGGCAGTGCGTGCTGTGGAGACTCTGTATCCTGTGGCCGAGCTATGCTCATCCCAGGGCTGGACAGTCCTTTGGGTTCGCCCCCTCAGTGGACACTCTCTCTAGGCCTGTCTGATTTCCCACTCTCAGGGACGCTGAGAAGGGCGAGGGTCCCAGAACAAGGGAGAGAGTTGGGGTAGAGGAGCAGAGGGACAGGGCTGATGGAACTCTCACATACAGCACTTTGGGTCCTGGGGCCAAAGGCTTCCTGAACAAACAGGGCCGCCAGGGTGGGCTCAAAGAAGGTGCCTGTCTCCTCCACGCACTTCATCCATCGTGGGCGGGCAGGCTACAGAGACAGAGGTGGAGTGAGAAACTTCTCCCCAGGCCTATCTTCTCTAGATCTGCACCCCCCAGAGGGTACTCTCTTGACTGAATTTTCTGGGTTCTGTCTCAGTTTATTATCCCTTTGGGTGACACACCCTGCTGCTCAGAGAAAGGGGCTTCCATCCTCCCCTGTGCTCCCTCAGGGTTAATCTTGTGAGGGTGGTTGAGCAAAGTCTCCCTGGTTATTGCCTGCTGAATATGGGAAGGAGAGGGTGAGAAGCCAGGCCTCTTACCTCAGCAGGTGTACTGCCCGCCCATCCCCAACACTGCACGCTCCCCTCTGGGGTCCCAGCCATGACACCCACCCTCCCATGCTGAACAGCTGGAGACATTGACTCCCTCCCATCTGTGCAAGTGGGAGTCAGGTATCATCCTGTAGGATCTCATAAGAAGGCAACTGTCGGAATAAAACTGGGTTTTAGATGCCACATTGTTTGCTAGGAGAAGAGGACAAAAGATACGACTAAATATATGAATTGGGAGAGCTAGAAAGAAGTCCTTCAGCCAAACTGGGGAGGTGGAAACAGGACAAGAGAATGGGGAGCTTTCACTGCAGAAGCAGCGAGGCCATCGACAAGCACTGGGGAAAGGAAGGGCAGTGGCAACTGAGATGTTTTTGTCAGAAGGACCTAGAGAATAAGAAATATAAGAGACAGATGTGGGTAAAGACTTAGCTCTGGGCTTGAGTGGCTTTGGACAGCTGACCAAGAAGTCAGCCCAGAGAGGACACAAGTGCAACAGGGTGACCAGAGAAACACACTCACAGAGCCAGGGGTGAGGAGTAGGCAGCTGACCCAAGGAAAGAGATACAAACCAGATGACATGCTAATTTGGGTTAAGCGGGATGAAGCCACAAGACTTTATTCCTGCCATTTATTGACTTCCCACAGATCTGGGGCTGGGAAGGCAGGAAGGCAGGAAGGCTGGAAGGCTGCTGCTGGGGCCTCAGAACAGCTGGGCTGGTCCTAAGATGGGGAGGGAAGTTATGAGCACCACCTGGAGGAATAGAGAGTGGAAGCCAGGCTGGTGATCATCAAGGAAGAGACTCCCAGCCCACGAGTTAAAGAGTCAATCATTTTGGAGGTTGGTCCAGACCTGACTGTGAGATCTCTTCTCTCACACATCTCAGCACACAGAGACACGTACTGAGGCAAGTGAGAAGCAAACAGGAATGGAGAGGAAGCTTGGGTCTGATAGCAACGAGTAGATTCAGGTGGGGAAGTTCTTCTGGACATTGTCAATTTCCTTCTCCCGAGGGACAAGTTTGGTTCTGGAACTGCCTCTCAGAAGAGAGTGACAACCTGGGGCAGCAGCCAACAGGAGCAGTGGGCCTTTTCACATCTCCTGCTCCCTGAGTTCTTCCCTGATCTCCTTTTTGGGGGCCCAACTAATTTGTCCAACATTATTTGCCCTGGGATTTTACTACTGGAGACCACAGAGGCCCCCTCAGACTACCACCAGCTCTCTCTCAAGACATGGAATGATAGAATACACCACATTGATTGGAAAGATAATGCTAAAAAGAGAGAAAGAGAGAAATAGAATTAGAGAAAAATAAATTCCTAAATATGAAGGATGGAAAAAATACTTCAAACTCAAGATAATGAAATTCAGTGGATTAGTTTTAAGGCACCAAAAAAAAAGTTGCTAATATAACCTCAGAACCAGTAATAATAATATTTGGGAAGTGATAAATATCAGGAAAAATTCTAAAAGTCTACAGGGGAAGCAAGAATGTGACTAATTTTCAATAGGATGAAAGTAGATTTTAGAGCTCTTTAATGTTAATTTCTAAACAAAATTTCTAGAAAGAATTATTAGATAATTCTTTTGAATGTTTGAATTTGAATGTTTGGAAAATAATGTATAACTTATCAAGGGCTATGGTGGAATCAGTGAGGACAAAGAAGGCCAAAATAATAAAAGTTCCTAAAGCTTTTCAAACTGGGGTATACACAAGACCAGAAGCTACTAATTGAAATCTGAGTCACATGCCACTGCGTGGTGGTTGTGGCTGCCCTGAAGAAGGCTGCCCCATGTTTCCTGAGCTTCGCACACACATGTACACACAGGCTGGAAATCTGAACCCTGGCATTCCATCTCTTAATTTTTAAATGTTGATGATTAATTCAAAGTTTGCAAAAGACTCCAAAGACTAACAAAACACATCTGCAGACTAAATCCATCCCTAAGGCCACCACCATACAACCACAGGACAGGGACAGAGTACTCAGCTTTTACTAAATGTGAGTTATGAACTTAAACCCCTGTGCTTCAGCTATACCAGCGGTCAAAATGAAAATATTATGGGTTCTACCTTCCCCCTGGATAAGAGGATCTGGTGAAATGATTCTCTGAAAGTACTCTGCATATTCAAAAGTACTACCCTGCTTTGCTGGCATTCTCTTGATTTACCCAAGGCATTTGGTATGGATTAAATCCTAGTGAATTTGCTGGAGAAGTTAATGTCGAATGATAGTGTGATTTAAGTGAACTCTCATCTGGCTGCACCAGGACTGAACATCACTGATGAAGGACTCCAAGTTCACTTGGCCTGCCCTGACTTTCCTGTGGAGAACCATAACTGCTCCTCACTTAGCATTCCTTTCTTCATCTCCTGTTGTATTTTCCTCCGTAACATATTTTATTTAGCTCATTTATTATCTTTCTTTCTTTACTAAAATTATGTGTCCAAGGCAAAGATATTTGTCTATTTTTTTTCACTGCCATATCCAAAGTGCTTAGGGAAGTATCTGGGATATAAGAAGTGCTCAATACATACTTATTGCCTAAATGAATGGATACATTTATAACTAAGTCCTCGATATGCTGATCTGATGTCCTTCCCCTTTAAGGATCTTAACAGAAGTCTGCAAGAAGATGCACTGCACAAAATTGCAAATGACCCAAGGTTGGAAAAGACAGACGATAAAATGGAGGATCAGGAAAAAAATGGCTAAAGTAACTTGAATAAATTGGGATGCTGAGCTGAATATAAACAGTTCATATTTAATTGCCACAAATGTGAAGTTCTTCTTTAGCTTCCCAAACCCAGCTTCCCACGTTTCCTAAAAGAAAGGCCTGGCTCAATGGCCATTTTCAGTGACTATATATTTGAAAGCAATCAACCTAAGATGGTCAGATAATGAGGCTTTAGCAGTCTTTAGGAATAAGAGCACTATAAATGAGAATTTGTTCAGAAGAATATGAACAGAAGTCTGAAATTAATGACCTTTAAATAGAGCTAAAAATGTTGGTTAAATCAAGGCCAAAACCTTGGTGGAGTCATTGACCCCACTCTTTCCCCTAGATCACACATCAGGAAATCTCATTTTGAACCTTATAATATGTTCTTTCAAATCATAAAATAGATAAACGCCTCATGTTCCTATTTGCTGCAGAGGAAATGAGACCTACCAGTCCCTATGAGGTCCTCTCCTTCCTGCTGATGTTCTCCCTCCTAATGTCCTGTCCACTGTGCTGCAGGTGTCCTGGCCTCCTTGTGGATTGTCAAACACGAACACTCAGGGACACGCTCCAGTGGCAGCAGTGGGCACTGCCTTCCCTCCAAGCCTACTCATCTCTCCTCAGCCAGACCCACCAGGAGGGACCTCATACTGGACCAAGTTTTAGCCACCCTTCCCCACACCCTGTCCCAATGAGGTGATCAGCCTTTCTTTGCTGGAAAACTCCTTCCCCTCTCTAGACTTTAATTTGGTTTTCTCTCCTGCATAAAGATCCCACTGATCATTCAAACACTCCCTGATCTTTCCGTCTTGGGAACTCCAAGAGTATCTGTTGTCCAAACCTGAGTTCTTTCTCTAGGAAAACAATCACATCTGCCATTGCTGCCTTTGTGCTGCGAAAACATTGTTGAGCAGCTGTAGCATAGACCACATGGACCACAGAGCCAAAAATGTTTACTACTTTGCCCTTTACAGAAAGGTTTGCTCATCCCTTGTTTACAGCAGCCACTTATTTCCCAATCCTGCACAGGGTGTGGCAAAAAAAAAACAAACAAAAAAAAACCCTGATTCTGTAAGCCAAATAGATCTATCATGGAGCCTGTTCCTTTACTTATGAGCTGTGTGATCTTGGCAAAGTGCCCTGGCCTTTCCGAGTCTATTTTTGCACCAGTGAAATGGGAATTAAAAGCCTCCAAGTGTTTCTGGGAGATTAAATAAAATAATCTATGCTAAGTGCTGACAGATCATGACTTCTCAGGGTATAATCAGCTTTTATCATTATTGTTATGTGTCATATTTTACACTCTTGTTCCAAAAAGGTAAAATGGCTTCTCCAAGGTCACACAACTATTTGTTGGCATAGGTTGACTCAGATTTTAAGCCCAAGATCAATTATGTACCTTAATGGAAAAGAGAGTGACTTCAGGATGTGTAAGCCTTCTGCGTTCTTTAAGTAAAACTCAACAAGAGCAGTCTCACACCCTCACCTTTAGAAAGTTGCCCTCAGGCCACGGGGGAGGGATTTACAGGAAACTGCTTGTTGCCACTGATTTTGTAGCAACTCTAATCTAGAGAACATGGGGCTCTGTTCTGCCTCATTTGAATCAAGATAAAAGCTGGGCAGAAGCTCCCTGGGGACAAGGTGAGGACTCTAAGAAGCAATGCTTTTTACTACAATGAATAAGCACAGACCCTGACTCCAGACTGCCAGAGTTCAAATCCTCTATTTACCAATTCATTAGCTATAGTCCTTTGAACAAACTCCTTAACCTTTGGGCCTTTGTTTCTCCATCTCTAAACCAGGGACAAAATGGTGTCCATGGTACCTTGTGGAACTGTGAGGATTAAATTAGTTAATAGACCAAAAGCATTTAGGAAAATGTCTAGCACAATATAAGCTCTCAATAAGTAAAGACTATATTCCAGTCCCTGCGGATACCTTTTTCCTGTCTGAATTCCACAGACATTTCCGGTTGCCAAAGCAGAGAGTTTCTCCAAGGCAGAGAAATGGTCCACAAATTACTAAGAGAACCCAGTGATTTTCAAGAATACACTGTGTTCTTCACTGAGGTTGGATGTATCCAATGTACAAGACACTTCTGCTTGCCTTTGGAGATTTGACTCAAGAGTTCGAGTTTCTCAGTGGAGAAGTATCTCTGCATCTTATGTTGTAAGTTGACTCTCCTCAGTGAAATACATTTGCTCCCCAGCATCCTCCTCAGATGCATCAAAGGCTGCACCCCAAAGCCCACGTGTCACCCGACAGATCCCCCTGGATGTCAGAGATGAATCTTTATGCAGAACATTTTTGTGTGGAATATGGAATCACTGAGAGTCAGGGAAGGCTACTGCTTGCCACACCTGTCCCACTTCCCAGTGAATCCTAAGTTCTAGGTCCAGTCGAATATCTGAGCAAATAACGTAAGGGGCACAACAAAAGATAGCAGTCCTTGGTAATTGCAGAGTTTTATAATTAAACTCTAATACTCAGCAAGAGGCCAGAGAGGTGGCCGGGACAGGCGACATGTTTCTCAACACCTGACACCTGGTACCTTGGTTCTTGAGTGAAGCCTCATCTGTCCAACCTGCCTGTTTCCATGGAGAGCTCAGACAGGGAGGGGCACCTGCCATCATGACCCTCTCCCTGAGACAGACAAGCTAACACTTACACCTCAGAAGACAAGATACTTTTCTAGCTCCCAATCTAGGAAAAAACAACCCCTCTTCTCCTCACCATGGGTGGTTGCTCTGTCAGCTCCCGAAGTTTCTGCCTCAGCTCTCTGCGTGCATTCTGGAATTTACTGTCCAGGGCTGGAGAAAGAGTCCCCACCAACCCTAAAATCATGTGGCTCTGCAGAAAGTCCCTGTGGAGACAAAAAGAGACCTACACATATACATCTGAGGATGTCTGAAGAACAATTTTTTTAATACGCAAACAGTCAAGAAGAGCTTTTCTTGCTGCGGTTTAGGAGAGGGGGTAGGGAAATGACAGAAGAAGGAACTAGGTGAAAAGGCAACCTTCAAAGTCACAGAGAAAGAAGTTCTTGGCCTAGATGCAAGCTAATACATTCCTTTTGGAAAGAAGTTTGGAGAACACTCAGGGATCTAAAAGTAGACCTGCTGTTTGATCCTGCAATTCCTCTACTACGTGTACATCCAAAAGACCAAAAATCACTTTGCAACAAAGATATTTGCACCAGATTGTTCTTTGCTGCTCAATTCATAATTGCCAAGTCATGGAAGGAGCCCAAATGCCCACTGACCCTTGAATGGATTAATAAATTGTGGTATACAAGGGAAAGGGAAAGGAGGCAGAAAGGCCAAAAAGGATTTCATAAAAATACATCATTAAATATAAAAGTGTAAAAAAAAAAATAAATCGTGGTATATGTATACCATGGAACACTATGAAGCCTTAAAAAAAGATGGAGACTTTACCTCTTTTATGTTTACGTGGATGGAGCTACAGCATATTTTTCTTAGTAAAGTATCTCAAGAATGGAAGAAAGTATTGAATGTACTCAGTACTTTTATGAAACCAATTTATAATTACACGTTCTTGTGAAAGATGGATCACAACTATAGCCTAGGATGAAGGAGAGAAGTGAAGGGGGATGGGAGGGGAGAGGGGAGGTTTGATAGAAGAGGATAAATGGGGGGACCACACCTATGGAGCATATTGTAAGGATAAGAGTTAAATCTATCAAGAATAGAACATAAATGTCTTAACAGAATAACTAAATAAGGTGAAAGCTATGTTGACTAGTTTGATGTAAGCATTCCAAATTGTATAAAAAACAACACATTATATCCCACAGATGCATAAATGTATTCATGATCTATGTGTATACGACTTAATAAAAGGAAAAAAAAAGGTTAAAAAAAAAAAGAAAGAGATTCATCTACTTCCACAAGTAAGAAATCTCAGCGCATCTTCAACCATATCGCTTCAGCAATGTGAAGCTGGGTTCTGCGGCTCCCCTGTCCTGCTGGCAATGCTCTGCCCTGAGATGACTGGCCCCTCATGTAAACCTGCCCCTTCCCCTCCCCGAAAGGATTTTGAGATGTTGCTGCCACCAAGTTATAATGAAGAAGGGCTTTGAGTCCAAGCCCGTGGAAGGAAGAGCTGCTGCCTTTGGGCGGTGGCCACACAGGTTTTGGAGAGGCGGAGGGCCCAATGTAGAATTGCACTATCTTACACTATCTTGTGCCCCACCTGACTTGGCATCCTGATCCTCCCAGAATTGGTCTTAGATATTCTTTCCCACAAGGGCTCCAGAATTCCCTCACCACAGCTGAGAAATATACTCTGCCTCAGCTTTTCCCCCTTTACCACCTCCTTCTCCTTATCTCCCTGGCTCGCTCCTCTTGCCTGTAGTGCTCAGTTGCTGAAGGGCACAAATGCCCTCACATGCTCCATATGTGACCTTGTAGCATCTCCTGAAGCTCAGAGGCTCTCTGCAAGTTGCTTTGCTATTCCCAGCAGTCCCGATGTTCTGGCTGTCCCTAGACCCATTATTTTGTGTGTGCTCTGTTCCCCATGCTCTAGACCTCACATCCTTCTCCTCTCATGCCACCCACCCCACTCCACCCCTCCCTGCCCCAAATGGAACAGGTCCCTCTCATCTCCCTGGGAGGCCTTACCAGCCTGCATTCCCAAGGTATCCCAGGTCCCCGAGTCCTACAGGTCCTTGGACTCTCCTTCCATTTCTCCCCAGTCCCACCTGAGGCAAACCTGTGTGTCAACACCAGCTCTTCCACCAGTTGTGACATGTTTTTCAAATATTCCAGGTCATGAACCATGAGGGGCTGAGAAGGGCTCAGGGACATCGGTGTGAATGTTGCTTGCAAGCAGGACAACCAGTCGATGGCCGGGGCCATTTCCTTAGAGGAGGGACACAAAGCTGAGGGGGACAATGAGAAAAGGAGAGAAGGAAGGGGAAAAGACTTCCCCTTGGGCTTAGGAGAAAGAGGAAAAACGGTTGGAGAAGAGGATAAGTCTGGAGAAAGTCAGAGATGCAAAAGAATTAAGGGCAGTAGGAGGAAGAGTATAAGGAGGTAAGAAAAGCTTGGGCAGAGACCTTCATGCCCACAATCCTCCTGTTCCCCATATGAGGTACCTGGAGTTGGTCTATAGTGACCATCTGGTCAACCTTGCCCTGTGCTTGCTGCTTCTCCAGGGGCCTACGAAACCGGAACAGCCTTGAAGTGATGGAGATGGACAAGGAGGCGTGTTCTTGCACCTTCACTGGGTCCCCTCCCAGCAAGTTCCCCAGCTGGTTCAGGTACTTCAAGTACTCCCGAAAGATCTGGGGAAGAACAACCTCAGTCACAGGTTCCAGAGGCTCCTGCCCTTCTCCTGGCCTCCGAGGGTGGGGACCCTGTCCACAGGCCACCTTACCTGGGCATCGACCTTCTGTTCCTGCTCTTGCTGAAGGGGAACATCAAACTCTGGTGGGTCTATCTGGACACAAGAGAGGCTGGAGAGTGGTGGGAGAGCATGGGGGGCAGAGAGGGACATGTGGGGACCTCGGGGAGTGTCCCAAGGAAGGTGGCCATGGACATGGGTATGAAGAGTTCACAAAGAAGGAGTGAGAGCACAAAGAAATGGCAGGATTGGGGGCCAAGGGCCACCAAAGGAAGAGTCCAGACATGCAAATGTGATAGGATAGTGACTAACATAACCAGCTTGGGGATGATTACCAGGAAAGAAGCTTAACAATTGGTGTCCTGAAGGGACCCATCCCTTGGACTAGAGCCACAGCTAGGACAATGGAGAGATGTCCATCTCAAATGAAAAATTTAAGAGGTATCCAGTACTCAGTAATCAAGACAAACATTTTAATTAATTTAAAAAATAAAGATTAATACAAGGGACTCTACAATAAGATCTCAAAACTTTGCTTATGATGGATTCACACTCACCCCCCCCCCAATTAACATGTTTTCCTGACTCATTTTGAAAAAATCATGGATGTGTTCCAGAAAGTCTTCAATGTATTTTTGATTCATTTTGAAAAAAAATTGTAAGAGTTTTGTTCCAGTTTGAAAAAAAGTATAACCTTTTAAAAAAAATCAATAATGAACAAAAAATTGATGTTTTGTGCAATCACTGATTTTTGCATGGATTTTGATTTTTTAGGGATAGTCATTAAAATACTATTTTTTCTTGACACTGAGTTTTGGGGACCTTCCTAGAGTCCTTCTTGAGGACCCTCACATACCTCGCCTGAGCTCCGGCTCTGCTCAGCCCGTGATTCTATCTTGAGGAACTTTGCTTCCATATTTTCCTTTACTTTCTCCCATTTCAATATTACACTCCTACCTTAAGGTATGTACTTTTCCTCTATCCTAAAAATCTTTTACTTGACTCTTTTGTCACATTTTATGTCCAAAGTTTGGGGAATAAAAAGGATTCCTTATCTTAATCCATCTGATTTGTGTCCATTTCCATAACCATTGGGAAACTGTTTCTAGGTCCAGTGGTGTCATCTCATGTATTGTCTGAGCTTGGAAATCTCTGGAATCCATGATGATCTCTCCTTCCTGCAGCACTTCCCCTCTCCTCTGTGACCTGTCCTTGTGGGCCTAGCCCCCACTTCTCTGAACATTCTTACTCTTCTATGGCTCCCTCTGTCCCTCAGCCCCTCCCCATTCATCCAGGAATGATGAATCATTCCTGGTTCATCCCTTAGCTCAGGATTTCCTACAGCCCTTTTAATAACCCTCAGCCTCACTATCACCTTTACCTGTGTGAGCCAAGCACGATGTTTAGCTCACATTCTCTCCTATCTGAGCCTTTCCTTAACCGGTTTAGATCTTAATTGACCCCCAAAACCACACCAGCTAAACTCCTGAGCCTACTTTTAGAACTAAATTTTAGAACACTTCATCCTGATTACCAGTTCTTGTATATTCAGCCTCTTTTTGTGGAATTTTTGAGAGTAGGGACAAAATATATAGATGGCATTACATTGCATACCATGGCAGTGATGGCACCAGTGTTTTTATTTAGTTGCTGGTGTGAGTCTCAAGCTGGGTGGCCCTGTACTAGATCCTGAGGAACAACGAGGAATAGGTGTGGTCCTGTGCTGGGAAGGCTCACAGGCTTCAGTACTGAGTGTACATGCTGAGAGCAGGAGGAAATGAGAGGAAGGAGAGAAAGGCTTCACCTAACTCCTAATTAGGATGTCAATGGAGACTTTCTGGAAGAGATAATAACTAAAGCCAACATTTGAAAAATATAGAAGAGTTCTCCAGGCTAAATGTAAGAGATTGTTGCAGACCAAAGGAGCAGCATATACAAAGAATGGAGGAATATTCATGGAACTACCAGTGAGTCAGCCTGGCTTAGGTTGTAAGAATGAGAGGGACATGTAGAGATAAGGCTGGAGAAGTATGTGGGGTCAAATCTCAAAGTACTTGCTTTGCTAAGGATTAGGGCCCAGATCCTGATGACTTGGTGAACCACTGGAGGCATTTAAACACAAATAATATAGCACAAGTAGCCATTGGTTTAGAAAGTTGGCAGAAATGAAGAGCAAATAATAGGGAAATCCTGGAGATATGAAAATTAGTTAAGAATTAATTCAGATCAGTAGGAAGAAAGATCAGAATTACTTCTAACCTCCTGAGACTGGCCCTATTGCTCTGTCTGCCACCCTCACCTAATGTTCCTGACTCTCATATTAAAAATTTTCCCTTAAGATAAAGCTGTTCCCTACATTGCACCTTTGTCCCACCCCAACCTGTAGCATTCTGCTAGGAGTTGACAGGCTAGATTTGAGGCAGGCTGAGGTCCATTTGTGCTTTTGCTAGTACACTGCTCACCTGGATGACTGGTGTGTGTGAGGTGATCTCATGAGGTTCCAGGTAGGCTCTGAAGAATGGGAAGTGACCATACTGACTCATCAGAAGTCTCAGAGTTTGGTTAAAGTCTAAGGATGTCCAATTACCAGAGATGCGCCATCCTCCAAGCTGGGAAGAAAAGGGAGAAAGGGCTGAGTATAGGATCTATGAGTCCCTCACTGGCTTGATCTTCTCTTTCTCAGAGATCTGGCACCTCTTGATCTCTGCTCTGAGTTCTCCGATGTCTCCAGGGCTCCACATCTATCTCTTCTTCTCTGGATTCACCCAAGGTCCTAGTACTCCCACAGGATATTGCCATTTCTAGCTCCATCTGTCCCTAGAACTCAGGGATTCTTAGGAGGATGACCCACCGTCTAGAAAAAAAGTGGCAGCCCCAAGCTTTCATTGGTTCTATTTGTTATGCATCCAAAAAAGTTAATATCCTAGTTTTTCTCACCTCCTCAATAACTTGTTTGAGGGGCCCAGTCCCTGAGGCTTCAATGGTGTGTGTGTCCATGCAGGAGCTATAGAATTGAAAGGCTTTCTCTTCTCCCGAGCCTGGACGCCAGGAGCCCTGGGCCTCTAGAAAGGAAGCATGGGAGAATTAAAGAAGTGAAGAGCAGCAAAGTGACAACATGGAGCATGAGGGGCAGGGCATGTACAGGAAGGAAAGGAAGACTCCCACAGGACATGGAAGGAAAGGGAGGCATAAAGAAGAGAAATTGAAAAGATGAAAGGATTGTCCAGTTTGGAATGGCTCAGCTCCGTGGTAGGATAAGAGCAGGGAGAAGAGAAGAACATGATGAGGAAGATAAAGAAAGTGTGAGGCCAAAGCAGGTGGACTGCTTGAGCTCATGAGTTTTAGACCAGCCTGAACAAGACTGAGACCTGGTCTCTACCCAAAATAGAAAAAAACTAGCTAGGTATTGGGGTGCATACCTGTCGTCCCAGCTAATTGGGAGGCTGAAGCAAGATGATCACCTGAGCCTGAGTTTGAGGTTGCTGTGAGCTATGATGCTATGGGACTCCACCAAGTGCAATGGAGTGAGAGTCTGCCTCGCAATAAATAAATAAATAAATAAATGAAGTGTGGAGAAGAAAACAAGAAGGAAAAAACATAGAAGAAAGGAGAAAAAGAATATGTGGGATATGGGTAGAGATGGGATAGAAATGGAAGGCAGGAGAGAAACAGATGAAGGAATTGGACAAATTCAGGAAACTAGAAAACTTAGACTGGAAAGAAGAAAACTGACAAGGAAAGGTGTAGCAAAGAGAAGAAGCCAACTCCTCATCTATGGATCCCAGAAAGCAAACACAGCACGGTAATGAGATGCACATCTCTGAATCAGCCACCCTCTGATATCTAACATTCCCACCCTCGAATCCCCTGTAATCTCTTTGCACCACTGTGGTCAATAGAATTTTTCCTACTATTCTTCCTTTTCATGCCTGTACCTCAACCAGCAATATCCCTCCATGGAGAAAGTAAACCTTCCACTCCTCCTTCATTCATTTCTCCCAGATTCCAGCTGATCCATTAGTAGTGCTGGAGGACTGGAAGTGCAAGCCTGTCTCATGTGCTCCTGTCCCCACTGGGCAGCAGCATGGCCAGCTTCCTGGGACCCACTTCCACCCTCCTGGCTTCCTCTTCACAGCCTCAACTCGTGAGAACTCTCTCTTCCAGCATAGCCAGTGGGCTGGTTATATTCGCTCCCTCAGCTTTACACAGGCTCCACCCATGGTGCCAGCCCCTCTCCTCACACTGTCACCCTGCCTCTTTCATTCTCCACAACCTGTGGGCACCCAGCCCTCTTACCCCGCCAGCTGCAGTTCAACATGCCTTCCACCAGCCACGGTTTTAGTGGAGAAGCAAGAGACCACTGGGAGAGCCAGGAGCTGGGACGTGGTGGGAGGCAAAGGGTGACATGGACAGAGAGGCACTGGAGGACCAGAGGGTCTGAAGCTGGAGAGAGGGCACTGGAGTGAAGAGCTGAAGGGCGGCGTGTTGAGGAGGTGGCGGCGGAGGAAGACACCACGTGTAGGACAGACACGGAACACTTGAGAGAAACAACAAAGTGGATGGAGCTTGTTAAAAGGAAGGGCTTGGAGACAATGGAATAATCACAGATTGGCAGAGGAAAGAGGTTGGGGATGAGGTAGAGAAGATGAAGAGAGGGACCAAGAGAGATGGAAGAAGGGAAGGGGCAGCTGAGGTGGCAGGGGCGGCGGGAGAGAAGCGAGGCCAGGCAGTTGTTCCGCAGCCTGGACTTTGGGGCCGCGGGCTCCTGGTCCTGGGCTCAGAAGCTTTCACCTGTAAAAAGACCCTTCCACCTGCTTTCCTCACCCAAGATCCTCCGAAGTTGGCTCTTGTTCTCCTCAGCAAGAGCCTGGAAGGAATCGCTGGACCTGTTTGTCTTTCCACAGACGAAGCTGAAGAAGTCGGTGCAGGGGTCCACGCTGCTGTTCCCCGAGGCCAGGTAAAGAGCCCTAAGATCCCAACACACCTGCCTCTGGCAGGCACCTGTGAGGGAAGGAAGGAGAGAGGCCAGGGCATTCCCCTCCCTCCAGGGATAGGGGACAGGGGAGGAGGAGTCTGGTGAGAAGGACATGGCTGAATGGGCGAGAAGTTAGGAGGCTCAGGGTGGGCATCAGAGCTCCAGGAGCAGGGATGGGCCACTTGGCAGGACTAGGTTGAGCGGGCTGATCTTGCTTACCTGGGCCACAGTTCCGGAAGGCGTAGACTAAAAGCACAGAAGAAGCCAGGAGCAGGCTGAAGAGCAGGGCATTCATCAGCACACGCCAGGCGGTGGCCCGCAGTCTGCTCCCCTCTGGGGGCAGCCTCTCTTCTGGAGAGTTCCGTGGGAGGAACTGGCAGGCGAAAAACACAAGGGTGGAGGGGGTGGAGAAGGGATGGAGGGAAGAAGACGAGAGAGAAGGAAAAAAGAATTGGTTAGGTTAGTGCTAGTGCTTTTGTACAAAGGTGATTCTCTTCGTTCTTCCTTAACCCAACCCTGGGGAGCCCACTGAGAGATGAGAAAATAGGGAACGGCACCTGTCTTGGGCAAAGGTTAAGCAGGCACTGCAGGGGATGAATGTTGGTGGGATGTTGGAGCCAGGGGTGATAACATTAGTGTCTGTCATGTCACTTACCTCTGGGCTCCCTAGAGTCTCCATTGCAGGGGCCTGGCTGAGACTCTTCAGCTCATCTTCACTCTTATCCCCACCCTCCTGGAGGTGAGTGGAAGGGAAGGAGACAGAGGATAGTTCAGGAAGGGAGGGCACTAAACAGAGTTTCATCAGGCTGCCAAGACTGCACCCTGCCCTCACACACTTTTTTTTGTCTTAGGGCCATGTTCCCAGATGGGTTTCAGAGCAAGCCTCTGTCCTGAGGTGCCATCTCTCTCCTCCCTCTCTCTTCACCTCTACTCTCTGCCTAAATTATTCCCCCTTCTGCTCCCTGATCTCCAGTGGGGGCAGAACCTTTGCCCACAGCCACCCTCAGTCCCCAACCTCCTCTGACTCCAAAATGGTATGGTGTCTCTAGGGGACTTACCATCTCTCTGTGCTCTCTGGCTCCAGAATCCTTCCCAGTACTGCTCTAGTTGCTGGCTCTGAGGACTGGATCAGGAAAATGGGCTCCTGTCTGGTGCTGCCCCAGTTTCTTGGTCCTGGAGAAGGGGCACTTCTGTTGCTCTGTCCCCTGTCCCCAAACACACAGTTCTGGCCTCTGGGTGGAGCTTGTTTATCTATGAGGAGACACACAAACCTCACCCCTCTTTTATCTCAGCTTCTCAGGGGAGCAGAGGGCGGGAGTCTTCCCTGCCCAGGCAGTCCTGCCCCTGTTCTGCTCTATGCCTGCTCTTCTGGTCCTTCTCTGTGACTTTGCTCATGAAGTTCCTTTATCTCTGGACTATTCTCCCTTCTCTCTTTACTTCAATTGTAAAAAAAAGAACAAAAAAAAAAAAGCTGAGGGACAATAACATTTCAAAGAGTTCATTTGAGTAAGAAGCAATTCACGGTTTGGGGAACTAGACTAACAGAAGTTTAGAGTTTCGATCATAAGACGTCAAAGGCACAGACTGTCAGAGGCAAGTATTTACTGGGAAAACATGGAAGCAAAATAAACCAGTATTTGATTGGTCTGCAGCTACTTAATTGCCTTTTTTAAAATTTCAGAATATTAAAGGAGTACAAATATTGTGAATATATGAATCGCTTTTGCACAGTTGGAGTCAAAGTCGTACTGTGCCCATCACCTGATGGTCTGCTTTGTACAAGTTAGTAGTGAATTTACCTCTCTCCTTCTGCCCCCCACCACCTGCTTGCTTTTCACTGAATTTTACTACCAATGAGCAAACTGGTGTTGATAAGTTCGTTCCAATTTAATAATTGAATAATCAGTTTGTTTTTCCATTCTTGCAAGACCTCACTTAGAAGAATGGTCTCCAATTCCATCCAGATTGTTACAAAAGATATTTGCTCACGCTTTGCTGTTATGGGTGAGTAGTACTCCATGGTATACACACATTACATTTTATTAATCCACTCATGTATTGATGGGTACTTGGGTTGATTCCACATCTTTGTGATTGTGAATTGTTCAACTGCACTTTTTTAGGTACCTTGTTAAAAAGTCCCTTGTCGTATAATTTACGTTAGTTGGCTGCTTATGATTGGCTGGGGCTAGATTTTATATCTAACATAAGCACTTGTCAGAAATGATCCAAGTTAAACTTCACTTTACATTTGTGGTTTAAGCAAAAATAAAGCTATCTTTAAGGCCTTTGGTTTGGTTTTGCTTGGGAACTTTTCAGGCTCAGTCTTCATTTTAATTTTGCCTTAACCCTTCTCTGATTGAAATCTCTTGGATCTTTGATGCCCAGGTCGAATGCCACCTCACCCAGGGGCCCCACAGCCATGCCATTCACATTGTTCCCAAGCATGCTTAATTGTTTCTAGGGTGTTTCACAGTCTTGCTGGTTGTAGGCAGAGTCATGCATTAAAAAGATCACCCAACTAGGAGACCCTAATCTGCTAATTATTAGCTCTGTGACAATAAACAAACCACTTAAACTCTCAGGCATGTAAGCAAGTTTGCCGAATGAAGGTAATAAATATTTGCCTATGCCTGCCTCAAAGGATCTCATACCTTCTACAAAAGGTCAAGGCATTATTGATCCCCCTTTTCTATCATTCTACAATCTTCTATGCTAGGGGCTCGCATCTTCATCCCCTATTGCTGGAAAATTATTTTGTGACAGATGCAATGTCCCTTTTTCCTTCATACCCACCTTAGGTGTTTTATAAATGTTCGTAGGAATGAATTGCATTCCAGGTCAGATATATGCATCATATGAAGCCCTCATCTGTGGTCTCAGTGAAGCAAACACACTCCTAGAAAAAGATGTTTCAATTCTTGTGTCCCCAATTCAGGGGGATTAGATTTGCTAAGATACCCTGGCAATATTTCTGGATTACATCAGCATGGTGCTAGGGCCACAGTGTGCTTCCCAGGATGGGGTAGGCGTGGAAGGGGCAAAGCCATTGTGTCAGCTGGGACCATGCTGTGGAGTAACATGAAAGACATGAAGAAAAGTCACAACTCCATGTGTTAGAAAATAAAGCATGGGAGAAGGAAGACCTTTGAGGAAGGATGCGACAGTATACTACTAGGAGAAGCTGGTTTGGCCCTGGCGAGCTGGATTGATTAGATCAGTGGTTCTCAACCTTCCTAATGCCGCAGCCCTTTCATACAGTTCCTCATGTTGTGGTGACCCCCAACCATATTATTTTCATTGCTACTTCATAACTGTAATTTTGCTGCTGTTATGAATTATAATGTCATATCTGATATGCAAGAGACCCCCAAAGGGGTTGCAACCCACAGGTTGAGAACCCCTGGATTAGATAAAAGACAAGAGGCAGAGCAGCAAGATTGGAGCTGGATGAGTAAGGAAAGGAGGGCCCAGCCCAGAAGGATGGCAGAGGGCAGCAAGGAACATAGAACGATTAAGAGAAAAAAATAAAGTCAGGGACACTGAGTGAGTGGAGAGGTGGTTGCCATAAAGTAACAAATGAGCTCTCTGAGTTGTGTTCCTCGAAGACCAAGAGAATAGTGATGCCAGTGATAGAAAAAGTATAATTTTGGTTAAGGGTTGGGGTAGAGATAGTGTTAGATAATTGCCTCAGAAAGCCCCTTCCCCAAAACACCCCTTCCTGCTCTTAAAGTTATAACTCCTTCCCAAGCACAGGGAATGGCCCACTTACCTCATCACCCTGTTCCGGTTACCCATTGCCCGCCCCTAATGGCTCTTTCTGCTGGAGCAATAACTCCTTATTAGTTATTACACCATCCCATCACCATTCTAAGTCTTCCCTATATAAGGATAGGTTTCTCCTCTCTCTCTTTCTTTCCCCCTTCCCCCCTTCTCGCTCTCCCTCTCTCTCTCCTTCTTGCTCTCTCCTCTTTTTCTCTCCTCCTTGGTGCTGCTCTGCAGCCTCCCTCCCCCACCAGTAAAGACCTTTCATGCAAGCCTTGGTGGTCTGTGAGATCTCTGCTGGTCGAGTGCCTCCCTTTCAGATAGGCCAGAGGGTATGATAAAAACTGGGGATTTTAGAGGCATCGGGTCTGAGTAGATCTCTGCCATGCCTCTTCCATGACCTTTCTTTCCCTAGAAATTCCAATTCCCTTCTCCTGGTTGTCCAACTTCTTTCATATTCATTCCCTTCCTCATTTGGTTCCTGCTAAACAAATCCCCTGAGCTGGTTTGTCTCTAGGAATATGATATTAGGGATAATTCGGGTCAGATAAGAACAAGTTGAGGAAGGAAGGTGAAATGTGGCATTACCCTATGGAACTCAGTTCTTTCCCTATCAGGAAAGCTGAGCCAACCAAGTAGATGGCACAACCCATGCACCAGTCCAGACCCAGCTGCCTCCTGCAAGCAAAGCAACCTCTGTTGTGGGAGCTTCCAGGAGCTCCTACTCTGCCATGACTCATGGAGTCTTCACCACAGCTGTCCCTGTCCCTGTTGTAGGAGTGTGGCAGCCCACTAAGACCTGAGCAAGGAGGGAAGGAGAGTCAGCCAGGCACCTCACTACCTCTGTGGATGCTGCCTCCAGCTCACCTGAATTGTTCTGTCCCATCTATTCTAATTTTAGGATCTTTTGTTTGATGTCACAATAATATCAAGATAATATCAGTAATAACAATAATAACCACCTTTTATTGAGCATTTCCTAACTTCTAGGAATGTGATAAATCATTTTTCTTATATTTTTTCCCCTTTAGTCTTCAGAACAATTCTATGGGGAAAGAAGAGCTATTATCATGAGAGCACAGTACATTTGACCAAAATTATTAAATCAGTAATTATCAGAACTGGGAATTGAACCAAAGCCTTAACTCTTTAGCTTCTCATTCATTAAGTTTCTGTTTTTTGGGTAGTCTCTTCATAGTCAAAATCTTCCTGCACCTAAAACTTTTTAAAGGACCTTTCACTGCCTGCTTGGCCTTGGTGTGAGGGTTTGGGGGAAATGTTATTCTTCAAACCTCATCTATCCAGTTTCACCTTCCAAAGACTATGCCTGCTTTACCTACTCATAATCAGCTACCTTCTATGATGGTTACAGTGTCAAAAGCAAGGGCAGGACACTTACCTACGTATGGTGGCACTCTCAGGTGTGCACATCAGTGGCAATTCCCTCCTAAGATCACTTGTGAATTGGGGTCCACGAGATAATGTCACTTGTGATCTTAGGAGTGAATTGGCCCTGACGTGCACACCTGAGAGTGCCACCATATGTAGATTAGAACGGTTAAGGAGTCCCCTCCTAAGGAGCAGCAGACCCAGTTCTGAAGGAGCCCAACTGAGCTGTGATGTGACAAGCAATGTTGAGAACTTTGACAAGAATGTGAAAGAGAAAGAGATCCCTGGGGGCAGGTTTCAGGATGTTCTACCTGCTCTTTCAAAGGAATCCATCTTTGAGAGCTCCATTCCACTTTGGGAAAGAAGAAATGGTGGATTCAGCATGTAACAGAGGAGTTTTTGAAGCGACTTAAAAGGCCAAGTGTGGTGGTTCATGCCTGTAACCCCAGCACTTAAGAAGGTCAAGGCAGGAAGATTGCTTGAGCCCAGGAGTTTGAGACCAGTCTGAGCAACACATTGAGAACCTTATCGCTACAAAAAATCAAAAACATTAGCCAAGCGTGGTGGCAGGCATCTGTAGTCCCAGCAAGCTGAGGCAGGAGGATCACTTGAGGCCGGGAGTTCCAAGCTGCAGAGAGTTCTGATGGTGCCACTCAGTCTAGCTTACACTACAACTTGAGTAAGTTCCTGGCTCTAAAAGAAAAAGAAAGTGAGTCCTAAGTAGGTAGACCTCTTTTAATATTTTCATTTCTAAATACCTTTTTGTATAGATATATGACTATAACAAGACTAGAATATATAATACCTGCTTAGTTAAATTATTAAATCAACTGAAATATCTGAAACATAATAGTTGGACTGATACTCAAATATGCCAAAAACTTGAAAGTAATACTCACAAGGCTAAATTTTGATCATGTACCTGTAAGAGCATCTCAAAAGGAAAATCTTTGTCTTT